CTGTTGTTTTCTTCTTCACATTCATAAGTTCTTATCATTTAGCTCCCACTTAAAAGTGAGAACATGGAGTATTTGGTTTCTGCCTTAGATTGCTAAGTATAATAGCCTCCAGCTTCATCCATGTTCCCACAAAAGAAATGATGTCATTATTTTTAAGGCTGCATATATTCCATGGTGTATATGTACCACATTTTCTTTGTCCAGTCATATTACTTCCACATCTTTCTGGTAAGTTTCTTTATCCAATCTATCATTGATAGTCATTTATATTGATTTCATGTCTTTGCTATTGTGAGTAGTGCTGCAGTGAACATTTGTGTGCATGTGGAAAGACTGCATGTTTCAAAACATCCCAGGTGCCATTGATACAGTAGTTCATAGACAGTCATTTCAGAAAAACTGTCCTGCAGTGCTGGAGGCACACTGTAAGGACCTAGCCTTGAATTTCTCTTTCAAGAGATTTAGAGAGTGAATAAGAATTAGTTTGTTAGACCTTGTGATTATCATGGTAGCAGCCTGAGTATTTTCTTGCTCTGATGATGTCTCCTCATTCAGCCAGAATGAGACCTGAAAGACAGCTACTCGAAAGGGTTTCACAGGTGTTATTGCATTTGCACTAGCACTGTGGATCCAGGATCACTTTTCCTGGTGAAAAGTATGGAAGTTTCAAAAGCCTACTGTTACTATTTAGCTAGAAATTATTATACTACAGGAGAAGAAAAAGTCTGCTTTATATAACTCCTAAAAGATACAACTCAAAAAATAAAATCTGCTTTATTAATTTTCCTTGTAAGAAATATCTGTTTCAAAGACTGGAACATGACATTAGCAGACCTCCTTCTTTCATGTTCATTCAGTCAGGTCCACTCTAGAGATCAAGGTGTCAGACAAAAGTCAGGTTGACATCCACAGAATTAGAATAAACTGTTGGTTATTCTCATGGGCTATTTCCAGCAAGTTGTTGAAGCTTTATGTTTAGTCTTCAAATTTAGGAAATTGAATCTTGAAAAATATCCAGCAACAGAATGAGAGTATCTTCTTTTGATACTGGTTGAAGAGATGCATTCTTTACTGCCAGTTCCCTTTATCATCACATCTTTAAAACATCATTATTTCATACCTGACATTTGATAATATTGAAGTCATGCCTTTAAAAAAACTTGCATGAGTATTTTTATGGAGATTTAGAATACAATGTAGCTTCATTTGTAATAGAGTAAACAAGTTGGTAAGATGGGATATGAATAGCTGATTTCTTCATTTATTTTTGATTATAAATAATTTTATTTTCAGAAAGTAACTTTCCTTCGTTTCGAAGAGAATTCTGGTCAAAGATTATCCCTGATGATTATTTCTGACTATCTCATAACCTCTGTAATGAATAGCTGTTATCTTAATATAACATTTTGCCTTTGAACCATGTCTTAAAATTAATACAACCAGAAACACACTGTATGTTATTTATTTATTCCTAGTGAATATGGTAGTTTATTATTTGGTAAACATTGGCAGCTTCAAGACTACTAAACAAATTCAAAATATGTGGACTCATATTTTCTTACCTTGATCAAACTATTTATTAGCAAAGCATCAAGCTTTTTATCTGCTTCATAATGTTGTATCTGATAATTACCTTGAAGAAACAAATCTAATTGTTTTTCCTCTTCCCTTATTTAAATATTGATAAGAAAAAGTTTTGGTTTCATTTCAATGGAGGGAGCAGAGTGGGGGTTGGGAGCTATTTCTATTCTCAGTACATGAAAAACTCTAGTTTTTTTTTTTTTTTGTCTTTTATTGAAGAAAACATATTTATCTCTTGTGATTATTTTTTATTTAATATTACTTCCCAAACTACCAAGATTATAACTATACACAGAGATACATAATTTTTTGTTGTTCCTAGGCATTTTTGTTTTCATAGGCAACTTCTTTTGTAATATATGTATACATGCTAAAATTATATTTCACAACTATTTGTATAAATGAATATTACATCTCAGACTATACAGTCTAGGGAGAGATCTGCCTGAAGTTTTATTTCTTAAATCTTAACATTTTAATAATCTCACCATGTCATTTTTCATTTAATGTTTAGAAACTACTAGTTTCTTTTTTAATTAATAAAATTTATTTTAGATTAGTCATAGGGTAGCAGCAAAACTGAGCAGAAAGTACAAAGTTCCCACATACCTCCTTGCCATATATGCACAACCTTCCCTGCTGTCAACATTCTGCACCAGAGAGGTGTATTTGTTACCATCAGTGAATCTATGTTGACATTGTCACTCAATGTCCATATTTTACATTAGCGTTGACTCTTGGTGTTTTATATTCTATAAATTTTGACAAATATGTAATTACATGTATCCACTGTTATAGTATGATACAGTTTTACTGCTCTAAAATCTGTGCTTTGCCTATTAATCTCTGCCTCTCATCAACCCTTGACAACTAGTGATCTTACTGTCTTAATAGTTTTGCCTTTTCTACAGTATCATTAAATTGGAATAATATAGAATATGCATTTTTTAATATGACTTCTTTCACTTAATAATATGCACTTAACTTTTCTCCACTTCTTTTCATGGCTTAATAGTTCATTTCCTTTTAACACTGAATAATATCCTATTTTCCATTTGTATCACAATTTATTTTATTGTCTGTTCACCTACTGAATGACATCTTGGTTGCTTCCAAGTTTTAGCAATTATGAAGAAAGCTACTATAAACATCTGTTTACAGATTTTTTTGTGAATGTATGTTTTCAATTCATTTGAATAAATGCCAAGGAATGTTATTTCTGGGTCATTTGCTAAGATTTAATTAGCTTTATAGGAACTTGTTAAATTTTCTTCCAAAGTGGCTGTACCATTTTACATTCCCACCAGCAATGAATGTGAATTTCTCTTGCTCTGTATCTTCACCAGCATTCAGTATTGTCTGTATTTCTGTATTTGAGTCATTCTAATAGGTATATATTGGTATCACATTACCTCATTGTTATTTTAATTTTCAATATTCTAATGAATATCATGTTGAACATCTCGTTATATGCTGGCTTGTGATCTGAATATCTTCTTTAGTAAGGTGTCTTTTGAGATCTCTTGCGCATTTGTAAATAGTTTGTGTGTTTTCTGATTATTGACTTTTGTTTGATAGGTTGGATAACTGTTCTTAATCAGATATGTCTTTTGAAATGTTTTCCCAAGTCTGTAAGTCGTCTTCTCATTCTCTTGAGATTGTTTTCCATATAGTAGAAAATTTTAATTTTAATGATATCAAAAGGAATATTTCTTTCCTTGATTATATCTTTAATGATTTTTGAACCCTCCTTCCTGTACACTGACACACAGTTTGCCTTTTCTCTAAAAAGTAATCACCATACCAAAGGTCTTCTAGATTTTCTTTTGTTATATTCTAGGAGTTTTAATATTCTGTATTTTACACTTTGGTCTTTGATTTGATTCCTTTTGAGTTAATATTTTGTGAAAGGTGTAGTTTCTCTAGCTTCATGCTTACTTATGTAGATGTTGAGTTGTTCCAGCGCCATTTGTTGAAAAGACTGTCTTTGCTCTATTGTACTGCCATTGCTCCTTTGTCAAAGATCAGTTAGCTATATTTGCATGGGTCTGTTTCTGGGCATTCTATTCTGTTCCATTGATCTGACTATTCGTTAACCAATACTATACTGTATTTATTACTATTGCTTCGTATTTAGTCTTGAAGCCAGTTAGTGTCAGTCTTCAATTGTTTTTCTTCAATATTGAGTTGGCTATTTTGGCTCTTTGCCTTCTATGTAAATTTTAGAAACAATTTGTTGATATCCACAAAATACCTTTCTAGTTGGTTATTTTAGCTCTTTTGCCTCTCTATATAAAATTTAGAAACACTTTGTTGATATTCAAAAAATACCTTGCTAGAATTTTGATTGGAGGTGAGTTTAATCGATAGATAAATATGGGAAGAACTTAACATCTTGACAATATTGAGTCTTCCTATCCATGAACTCCCCATTCGGATATCTCTTAATTTATTTAGTTCCTCTTTGATATTTCTCATCAGAGGTTTATAGTTTCCCTATAGAAACTGTTGGTTTTAGCTAGGGGATTAACTTTATTGAAGTTCACTTTGCTTCTATAACCATCAGCAGCCTGGTGAAAAGAGACCTACAGTCTCCTTGAGAAGGGTTATGGCTAGTATTTCTAGATGGCTGAGCTTGATGGAAAGCTCTTGCTGTCTGACATGGCTTTTTCACAGTATTAGTCTTTTTTGTTTGGTTGGTTTTTTGATTTTTTGTTTGTTTGTTTTTAAGATGGAGTCTCACCCTCTTGCCAGGCTGGAGTGTAGTGGTGTGATCTTAGCTCACTGCAATATTCACCTCCTTGGTTCAAGTGATTCTCCTCCCTCAGCCTCCTGAGTAGCTGGGACTACAGGTGCACACCATCAAAAATTGACATAGAGTTTTGCACGTACTTTGAAGATTTTTACCATTATAATCCTTGGCAAGATTTAGGAGAAAATATGATTTTAAATGTTCCAGATCATGATACAGAGGGTAATATCCTACCTCTCTTGTTTCAGTCTGACTCTTACTATGTTTTACTAAGAGAAACAGTCAGAATTTACCTCTATTTCTGAAATAAAAGACAACTTTTAGTAAGTTCATTTTCGTTATCTTCTGTTTAAAAGTGTATCCAATATTATTATTCTTTTCATAATGCATCTTTTTACACTCCAAATTTCAGTCTGAATTTCCAAGTTTCAATCTTTCATTTGTGGTTTGGAAGAAAATGGTTAAAGAACTAACTCGTAAAACTTGCTTTGTATATGACATGATACCATGCTTTTTAAGTAAATGTAACTATCATTTTCTCTGCAGTCACATTTTGTGAGTTATATATCCTATGCCCGTGTTATTTAAATGATCAGCAGATGGTTATTTAGACCTATACTCTCCTTATCAAGATGAGGATTATTAACTTTTTTGTTGTTTTCAATAGGTATTCTCTGCTTAAAGTGTTACCTGCTCTAAGAATGCTTAATGGCGATATGCTAAATTCTGATTCAGAAAGACACACTGAAGAACACAGTCAACTGGAATCAGCAGGTTTCCTGGTACTTTGTCAGTCTCAGATTCGAGAATTTAACTTGCTAATAGAAAATTATATAACTAGAAAAGGGTAAGATTGTAATCTTCCCATTGTTGTATTTAAAATCAATAATGTAATTTATAAATACAATTTTTAAGTGTTCTGATTGACACAATTATACTTTTTTGGATTAGAACAGGGTGTTTAGGGAATATTCTACCTTTGAAAAACTTTGGGTATCATGTTTTATTCTTGAAATATATTAATATGTATTTTGAACATGATTCCAAATATTTAAGTGCTACAATATTTGATAAAGTAAATGAAAGCATGTGGATATCATCAAGACAAGAAGGAAAAATTCAATTAGTCATAATTTTATTCAGCAATTATTGTGGGCAAGACTATTTATCCCCAAATAATTCACAAATTAACATAAGAGAAAACTGGGTAAACAGCTAGAATAGAGTGAGGCAAGTTTTACAACACATATTAATTATATATTAAAATACCATACATATACTTAGGTATTAAGGTAGTATGGGAGCACAGTCCAGAAGAGCAGTCAGCATTTATACCCATTTAAAGCACAGAAGTTGACAGTAATCAGAATCAAATTTTGAAGAACGAAAACTTCCTATTCCCCACTTCAAATTCTGAACGTATTATAATTATCTTTCTATAACTGTATTTTTTAATTTGCATTGTGTCAGAAAATGTAAATTATAAAGGAAAATGATTCCATGTTGTTTCACTTACAATGACTCTCCATTGTAACTGGAAAAATAACATGCATTTCCAAATGTCTTAATTTTCATACTAAATTATATTATTAAACTATTTCTATTGATACTTTAATACATGCTTGTCTTATGTAAAGGTTGGTTTTCTGTTTCAATATTTTTGAACATAGTCTATTCATATGAAAACAAGTCTTACATTGTTAAAAATAATTTCAATTATTATAAGTAATGTTTAATGTAGCAAATACTAAGATTGTTTACATTTGTCTTTATGCAAATCTAAAATAATATTTACTTGTATTTGTGTGGTAACATACAATTTTGTATGCAAAGATGACCCTTGACATTGCCTTGAAAGCTAAATTTCAACATGAGATTTTAAATGTAGTCCTTTGGACTGTTTATTTCATTGCAACTTAAGTTTTATTTTAGCATTGAAAATGGAAAGACTATATGAAGAAAGAAAATTCATACTTTATAATATGTAAAATAGGGTATACTTTATGTTTAATGCATAAGTGGTGGTGAGTTCAATAAGTAATTATAAACATTTGATATCCTAATATCAAAAGTTTTTTTGCATTATTCACCAACAAAGTGAATGCAATACAAAATATAAAACATATATTAGATGAGTCTATGCCAGTGTCTAAATTACCTTTGTGAATGTAGGAACTATCAAATTGTCTCTACGTTTTTGGAAATAATTGTAACTTTCATTTTGTTTGATGTGATTGACATTTTATTTTTTATATACTGTATTTTTTCAGAGAAAAATTCAGGCAACTTATGGCAATATATTAAATATAGACAGAAAATGTAAGTTAGAAATAAGCAAAAAATTTTAAACACAAAACAAAAATAAAAGAAGATAAAATGTAGCCAAGAATAAGCCTCATACAAATGCAAAGTCCTTTACATTTGTTCTTGAGAACTTCAAATCTGGCCAACATTAAAACTTGATTAATTATACAAGTTATAAAATTCAAAAGCTAGAGATCCAATAATTATTCAAGAGAATTTTAGCCATTTATGTCCTAAAGTACTTGAATTCTCTTTGCAATGGATTATTATTTTTCCAAAGATAAATGGGAATTAAAACTTTCCCATAATGTAAGTTCTTTGTTTAAAAGTCCAATACAAATATTTTGCATGGCAAAAGTCAATGTAGAAAGCACTTTAAACTTTATTTCATAAATAACTTCTCCAAATTTAGTCAGCCATGATTTCTCATGTTTATGGTAGTAAAAGCATGAATTTTTCTCATTCATTTGTACCCAAAATACCTAGAATAAAAATGGTCCTGAAATTTCCAGACATTTTGTCTGGACTGATGGATCTAAATTAACTAAACAAATGTTTTCAAATTTTATTATAATTGAGATCAATTTTTATATAAACAACTAGAAATCCTCTATAATGCATGTTGTAGTGAAGTTTAATATTCATTTGAGGCCATACAGTGAAATTTTCAAAACCTGTACAAGTTTTAATATTTGCTGATATAATTCTTAGTAAATGTCCTCATCATTTATTTGTTCAGGGATGCATTTACCGTGGATACTGCAGAAAATCTCTGTCATTATTTTAAAAAATTGATGATACTTAGTACTGAATGTCGACATGCACACGAACGTGGGGATATAAATATCACCAAGAAAGGTGAATCAGAAGCCCAGAAAAGTCATTTGGCCCCTACAAACAGTGACAGCACACTGCAAAATGGAGTCTTCTACTCTTGTGCACATGAACATAATCCAGACTTATCAGATATTCCTGAGAAATGGATGGACTCTGGCTCCAACTACTCCCCGTTAAGCAACTCCTCCACGTGTGAAGATATGGAAGAAAGACATCAGGAAAAATTAATGTGTCAGAAGAGAGAAGACAGCAATGCAAGCAGTATTCCCACTAAAATAATCCCATTTAAGGAAGTAGTAATGACAAATTCTCTGCTGAGGAATCACCAAAATACTGAGCCTCGTGAAAAAATGTAAGACATATAAATAATTTTTCTTTTGTAGATGTATATTTACCACTTTGGATGGATGGTGTTAGTCAATGGTATCAAATAATTTGCTGAAGGATTTAAATTACTATCATATTTTTTACTGATTCCATTAGTTTTATTTCCATGTGATCCACAAATCATTAATTACAGAGCAGATTAATTTGATTAAATTTTGGTTTAATTTCCGTTAGTATTTAAATAAGTAAACGTGAATTTTTTTCACCTTCTGATTCCTAAATCATGTATTCTAAGGAGAAATAAAATACCACACTCTAAAGATAATAAAAACAATATTTTCTAAGTAATCAAATAATTTCATTTTTTAAAAATACAACTTTGTACATGCCACTTATTTGCTTATTGATTTAGTAAACATTTAATGAGCATCTTTGCAAGTATTTGAATATATGTGCTATTATTTTTGGCATTAATAGATCTATAAGGTAGGGCAATATTCTCCATGATTAATCAAGGAAACCCATTATAACCATTAAACAATTCTAGATAGCTAATGGATAATTGTTTGTTAAACCAGCAAATATTAGTTTACTTTGGCCTGTCAATTTATTCTTGTTCTTTTTACTTTTGGCCTCAGAGCCAAGCTAAGAAAAGAAAAATTGCTCAGATTTAGCTTATCCTATAAATGACTGGTGCTGAGCAGGGCATATGTCAGAATATCGCAGTACCTAGCTAATCTTGCTTTTCCTACTCTTCCATTTTTCAAAAGTTATCAGAGGAAAGTGTAATATTTTTTTCCTGAGAGCTAGGTTAATTAATTTGATATGCTGAAACTCATATTTCCTAATGTAAATTTTTAGTATTTATCAAAAGTGGCTTTAATATTTTCTGATTTATGTTTTATTAATTTATTTACTTGATTGCCTTTTCCCCAAACACTTCAAATGTTGCCTATTGAAATTTCATATAAACAATATTTTGAACTTCTTAATCCTAAATAAAATAGCCAAATGATGACAATAAGTAAGGATGAAGAACTGAAAATATAGATAAACTAAAGACCCAAAGAATAACGGGGGAAAAAATGTATACCCACTTGCTGAATCTGAATGTTAATTCAGTGATTCAGGAGATTCACTGTCAATTGTGTAAGAGTTTCCTAATTATTATTTACATGTGCTCTTATTCCAATGACACTTTTGGCATTATCATTTTTGCCAAAATGGTGATGATGATGATGTTTTTCTCAACCTGGAGTGCCCCCTACATTTAGGAAACCATAAAGTCAGCTTCTTTCCCTGTTTTCAATGTAGTGAAAAAGTCCGTATTAGTGTCACTAAAGAAAATACCCCGCATCTACCTTTTGTTTTTTGTTTACCCTGGGGAATTTTGATGCTATTAGGCTGAGGAATTCATGCAATCAATGACTTAACAAGAAATTCACAATTACAGTCAGTGAGACTTGTATATGTCTATAAAGAAATACAACATACTGTCTCAGGTTTGATGTGTTTTTCCATAAGCCTTTTAATTTTGCTAATTACATATTGCAAATGTGTTTTCTGATTCTTTTCATTGTCACTCAAAATGCCCGTTAAAATGCTTTGAAATCCCCTAATTTGTTTTCGTTCAAAAGATGAATTAATGAATTATTAAATGAATAAATGTGAATTATATCTTTATCAAAATTTACAAAGTTCTGTTTACCGTAGGGGGAGGAGGAAATGATTTTTGGACCATGAATATTTTTTCAAAGTATTGGACATTCAAGTAGTTTATCTTAGACCATATATTTTAGCCATTAACTTCAATATTCTACTCATAGTAAAACAGAATGAAGCCTTCTACTGACTTTACGTAAAATGGTGATGATGACAATAACAATGATGATGATAATAATATGGATAATAAGGCAAAACAGCAGTATAAAATGGCTTTATAATTCCTTTCTAACTTTCCAGAAACTTATTAGTATGAGGAAAAAAAATGTATGGTCATGTCTAGCAGAGTTTACCACTTCATTTCCACTTTCCTTAAACTAAATTGTATGAGGAATGAAGAAATTTCACTGGATTTGGCAATTAAAAAATTATTGAAAATGATTTCAAGGGAACATTGGAAAATGAAGATAGGCCAAAAATTGCTTCTCCTCTTTTTAAGCCAAAGTCAGGAATTTGAAAAGAGATTAAGATAGAATAGTCAGGACTTTGACAACACTCTTTACATTGGTAATATTTCTCTAATAATCTATGTTGGAAAAGGAAAACATTTCCGATTAGTAAGAGTTAAATTACTAAATGCACTGAAAATACACTTTTATAATCAATGTACATTTTAATTAAAATTTTGCTAATGTTGCTGGGCAACATAGGAGGACATGGAAAACACATAGCATTGATTCATTCAGTGCCTGAAATTGGCAAATAGATGTGGACCTGAAAATTTTAAGTATTTACTACTGAGTCTCTAAGAGTGTAATTTAACTATTTGTGTGTGGGCAGAGAAGAAAGTGAAGCTCCTAAGCACCTGATAGGGTGCTTTCTCCTACAATAAACTCCAAGGTTACTTCTCCACAATGAATAAAATTTTACCCTCTCTTGCCAAGTTAACATTAGCTCCTATATTTGTCCTCTCTGTTTTGCCTCATCACTTTTTCTCTTGTCTCTAGACAAATATACCCAGAATGATACAAAAACTCATTATAAATCTCCCTCCTTAAAAGAAACAAATGAAAATCCCTTTCACTAACATACCCAAATACTGGCTCATTTCTTCAGATTGTAAGATTTTACCATTTTCACTTCTATGACGATAAAAGAAGTGGTCTTATTTTTAAATAGTTTATATATTCTTTGTTTAAATTATTGCTCATGAGGACCTTTTATCTACAACTGTGTATTTACAGGTAATTTAAAATGTGTTTCGTTTTGTTTTTTTCTCCTCCTAATAGTATGGCAGCTGTGGTAATCCAGTCATACTGGCGTGGTTACCTCATCCGCAGACAGATTCATTTCTCCACAAGGCTACATACTGATGCAACAGAAAGCCTGCTAAATTCTTCCATCAAGAATCAGACTATTTTAAAGAAAGAAAAGAGAGAAAGTATTGTGAATATCCAAAAACAGAGGGAGAAGGCTGCTATTCTTATTCAGGTTAACTTCAATCCTTGGTAACATAGTCACAAAAGATATATTAGTCATCTTTCATGGTTTATTCTGTATGAAAAATAACCTCTAAATCTCAGTGATTACAATTATTTAGATTTATTTCTTTTTTTCTTCTTATTGTACTTGAGGTTCTAGGGTACATGTGCAGATCATGCAGGATTGTAAGGTGGTTTGCTGCCTCCATCCCCCTGTCACCTATATCTGACATTTCTCCCCCTATTTTTTTTTTTTTTTTGAGACGGAGCTTCTCTCTTGTTACCCAGGCTGGAGTGCAATGGCGCGATCTCGGCTCACCGCAACCTCCGCCTCCTGGGTTCAGGCAATTCTCCTGCCTCAGCCTCCTGAGTAGCTGGGATTACAGGCACGCACTAACATGCCCAGCTAATTTTTTTGTATTTTTAGTAGAGACGGGGTTTCACCATGTTGACCAGGATGGTCTTGATCTCTCGACCTCGTGATCCACCCGCCTCGGCCTCCCAAAATGCTGGGATTACAGGCTTGAACCACTGTGCCCGGCCATTTCTCCCCATATTATCTCTCTCTAACCTCCCCACCTTCCACTGTCCTTCCCCTCGCCCCCCCCAACAGACCTCAGTGTGTGATGCACCCCTCCCTGTGTTCATGTGTTCTCATTGTTCAACTCCTGCCTATGAGTGAGAACATGTGGTGTTTGATTTTCTGTTCTTGTGTCAGTTTGCTGAGAATTATTGTTTCCAGATTCATCCATATCCCTACAAAGGACACAAACTCATTGTTTTTTTATGGCTGCATAGTATTCCATGGTGTATATGCCACATTTTTCTTGTCCAGTCTATCATTGATGGGCATTTGGGTTAGTTCCAGGTCTTTGCTATTATAAATAGTGCCTCAGTGAACATACGTGTGCATATGTCTTTATAATAAAATGATTTATAGTCCTTTGGGTATATACCCAGTAATGAGATTGTTGAGTCAAATGGAATTTCTATTTCTAGATGCTTGAGGAATTGCCACACTGTCTTCTTCCACAATGGTTGAACTAATTTACACTCACACCAACAGTTTACAAGTGTTTCTATTTCTCCATATCCTCTCCAGCATCTGTTGTCTCCAGATTTTTTAATGTTTACCGTTCTAACTGCCCTGAGGTGGTATCTCAATGTGGTTTTGATTTGCATTTCTCTAATGACCAGTGATGATGAGCATTTTTTAAATATGTTTGTTGGCCTCATATATGTCTTCTTTTGAAAAGTGTATGTCCATGTCCTTCACCCACTTTTGAATGGGTTTGTTTTTTTCTTGTAAATCTGTTTTAGTTCTTTGTAGATTCTGGATATTAGCCCTTTGTCAGATGAGTAGATTACAAAATGTTTTTCCCATTCTGTTGGTTGCTGGTTCACTCTCATGATTTTTTTTTTTTTTTTTTTTTTTTTTTTTTTTTTTTTTTTTGCTGTACAGAAGCTCTGGAGTTTAATTAGATCCTATTTGTTTATTTTGGCTTTTGTTGCCAATTCTTTTGGTATTTTTGTCATGAGACCCTTGCCTATGCCTCTGTCTTGAATGGTTTTGCCTATGTTTTCTTCTAGGGTTTTTATGGTGTTAGGTCTTAGGTTTAAGTCTTTAATTGATCTGGAGTTAATTTTAGTTTAAGGTGTCAGGAAGTGGTCCAGTTTCTGCTTTCTACACATGGCTAGCCAGTTTTCCCAACATCATTTATCAAACAGGAAATTCTTTCCCCATTGCTTGTTTTTGTCAAATTTGTCAAAGATCAGATGGTTGTAGATGTGTGGCATTGCCTGCAAGGCCTCTGTTCTGTTCCATTGGTCTATATTTCTGTTTTGGTACCAGTATCATGCTGTTTTGATTACGGTAGCCTTTTAGTATAGTTTGAAGTCAGGTAGCATGATGCCTCCAGCTTTGTTCTTTTTACTTAGGATTGTCTTGGCTATGAATGCTCTCTTTGATTCCATATGAAGTTTAAGGTGGTTTTTTCCAGTTCTGTGAAGAAGGTCACTGGTAGCTTGTTGGGGATAGCATTGAATCTATAAATTACTTTGGGCAGTATGGCCATTTTCACGATATTGATTATTCCTAACCATGAACATGGAATGTTTCTCCATCTGTTTGTGTACTCTCTTATTTCCTTGAGCAGTGATTTGTAGTTCTCCTTGAAGAGGTCCTTTGCATCCTGTATTAGTTGAATATCTCGGTATTTTATTCTCTTTGTAGCAATTGTGAATGGGAGTTTGCTCTTATTTGGCTCTCTATTAGTCTGCTATTGGTGTATAGGAATGCTTGTGATTTTTGAACATTGATTTTGTATCCTGAGACTTTGCTCAAGTTGCTTATCAGTTTCAGGACATTTTGGGCTAAGACAATGGGGTTTTCTAAATATACAATCATGTCATCTGCAAATAGAGACGATTGGACTTCCTCCTTTCCTATTTGAATATCCTTTATTTCTTTTTCTTGCCTGATTGCTCTGGCTAGAACTTCTAATACTATATTGAATAGGAGTGGTGAGAAAGGGCATCCTTGTCTAGTGTCAGATTTCAAAGAGAATCCTTCAGTTTTTGCCCATTCAGTATGATACTGGCTGCAGGTTTGTCATACATAGCTTTTACTATTTTGAGATATGTTCCATCAATATGTAGTTTATTGAGAGTTTTTAGCATAAAACACTTTTGAATTTTGTCAAAGGCCTTCTCTGCATCTATTGAGATAATCATGTGGTTTTTGTCTTTGGTTTATGTGGTGGATTACGTTTATAGACTTGTGTGTGCTGAACCAGCCTTGCATCCCTGGAATGAAGTCCCTTGATCATGATGGATAAGCTTTTTGATATGCTGTTGCAATCGGTTTGCCAGTATTTTATTGAAGATTTTTTCATCTGTGTTCATCATGGATATTGGCCTGAAGTTTTCTTTTCTTGTTGAGTCTCTGTTGGGTTTTGGTATCAGGGTGATGTTGGTCTCATAAAATGATTTGGGAAGGATTCCCTCTTTTTGGATTGTTTGGAATAGTTTCAGAAGGAGTAGTACCAGCTCCTCTTTGTATATCTTGTAGAATTTGGCTGTGAACCCTTCTGGACCTAGACTTTTTTTGGTTGGTAGGCTATTAATTACTGCCTCAACTTCAGCCCTTGTTATTAGTCTATTCAGGGTTTCACCTTCTTTGTGGTTTAGGCTTGGAGGTTACAAGTGTCCAGGAATTTATCCACTCCTTCCAGGTTTACTAGTTTATATGTGTAGAGTTGTTTGTAGTAATCTCTTATGGTAGTTTGTATTTCTGTGGAATCAGTGGTGATATCCCTTTTATTGTTTTTTATTGCATCTATTGATTCTTCTCTCTTTTCTTTTATTAATCTGGCTAGTGGTCTATTCTGTTGATCTTTTCAAAAAACCAGCTCCTGGATTTATTGATTTTTTGAAGGTTTTTTTTTGTGTCTCTATCTCCTTCAGTTATGTTCTGATCTTAGTTATTTCTTGTCTTCTGCTAGGTTTTGAGTTTTTTTTATCTTGCTCCTCTAGCTCTTTCAATTTTGCCGATAGGGTATCGTCACTTCTCATGTGGGCATTTAATGCTATAAATTTCCCTCTAGACACTACTTTAAATGTGTCCCAGAGATTTTGGTACATTGTGTCTTCGTTCTCATTGGTTTTGAAGAATATCTTTATTTCTGCCTTCATTTCATTGTTTATCTAGTCAATATTCAGAAGCCAGTTTTTCAGTTTCCATAAAGTTATACAGTTCTGAGTTAGTTTCTTAACCCTGAGTTCTAATTTGATTGCACTGTGGTCTTAGAAACTGTTAGTTATTATTTCCATTCTTTTACATTTGCTGAGGAGTGATTTATTGCCAATTATGTGGTCAGTTTTAGAGTAGGTGTGATGTGGTGCTGAGAAGAATGTGCATTCTGTGGATTTGGGGTGGAGAGTTCTGTAGATATCTATTAGGTCTGCTTGGTCCAGATTTGAGTTCAAGTCCTTGATGTGCTTGTTAATTTCTGTCTCATTGATCTGTCTAATATTGACAGTGGAGTGTTAAAGTCTCCCACTATTATTGTGAGGGAGTCAAAGTCTCCTTGTAGGTCGTTAAGAACTTGCTTTATGTATCTGGGTGCTCCTGTACTGGGTGAGTATATATTTAGGATTGTTAGCTCTTCTTGTTGCATTGATCCTTTTACCATTATGTAATGCCCTTCTTTGTCACTTGTGATCTTTGTTGGTTTAAAATCCATTTTATCAGAGACAAGGATTGTAACTCCTGGTTTTGTTTTTTTTTTTGGCTTTCCATTTGCTTGGTAAATCTTCCTCCATCCCTTTATTTTGAGCCTATGTGTGTCCTTGCATGTGAGATGGGTTTCCTGAATACAGTACACCACAGGGTCTTGACTTTTTATCCAGTTTGCTAGTCTGTGTCTTTTGATTGGGGCCTTTTGCCCATTTACATTTAAGGTTAATATTATGTGTGAATTTGATCCTGCCATTCTGATGCTAGCTGGTTGTTTTGCCTGTTAGTTGATGAAGTTTCTTCATTGTGTCAATGGTCTTTATCATTTGATATGTTTTTGGAGTGGCTGGTTCTCATTGTTCCTTTCCATGTTTAGTGCTACTTTCAGGACCTCTTGTAAGGCAAGCCTAGTAGTGACGAAATCTCTCAGCAATTGCTTGTCCATAAAGGATTTTTTTTTCTCCTTTGCTAATGAAGCTTAGTTTGGCTGGGTATGAAATTCTAGGTTGAAAGTTCTTTTCTTAAAGGATGTTGATTATTGGTCCCCACTCTATTCTAGCTTGTAGGGTTTCTGCTGAGAGATCCGCTGTGAGTTTGATGGGCTTCCCTTTGTGGATAACCCAACCTTTCTCTCTGGCTGCCTTTAGCATTTTTTTCTTCATTTCAACCCTGGTGAATCTAACAATTATGTGTCTTGGGTTGCTCTTCTTGAGGAATATATTTGTGGTATTTTTCTGTATTTCCTGGACTTGATATTGACCTGCCTTGCTAGG